GCGGAAAGTACAAGTGCACAAGCTTGTGGCGTTAATACACAACCCAGGAAGCTCTCACTTAGATTGTGTTTCTCCCTACACTTCTTTCGTGCTGTTGCTGTTCCCTGCGAGGTTTGCAACAGAACAGGGCGTAATCAAGGCTTCTCTCCTCCTTTTTTTTATCAGTAATTTGCTTCGATGTTTGATAGTATTACACTTCTTTCGTGCTGTTGCTGTTCCCTGCGAGGTTTGCAACAGAACAGGGCGTAATCAAGGCTTCTCTCCTCCTTTTTTTTATCAGTAATTTGCTTCGATGTTTGATAGTATTACACTTCTTTCGTGCTGTTGCTGTTCCCTGCGAGGTTTGCAACAGAACAGGGCGTAATCAAGGCTTCTCTCCTCCTTTTTTTTATCAGTAATTTGCTTCGATGTTTGATAGTATTACACTTCTTTCGTGCTGTTGCTGTTCCCTGCGAGGTTTGCAACAGAACAGGGCGTAATCAAGGCTTCTCTCCTCCTTTTTTTTATCAGTAATTTGCTTCGATGTTTGATAGTATTACACTTCTTTCGTGCTGTTGCTGTTCCCTGCGAGGTTTGCAACAGAACAGGGCGTAATCAAGGCTTCTCTCCTCCTTTTTTTTATCAGTAATTTGCTTCGATGTTTGATAGTATTACACTTCTTTCGTGCTGTTGCTGTTCCCTGCGAGGTTTGCAACAGAACAGGGCGTAATCAAGGCTTCTCTCCTCCTTTTTTTTATCAGTAATTTGCTTCGATGTTTGATAGTATTACACTTCTTTCGTGCTGTTGCTGTTCCCTGCGAGGTTTGCAACAGAACAGGGCGTAATCAAGGCTTCTCTCCTCCTTTTTTTTATCAGTAATTTGCTTCGATGTTTGATAGTATTACACTTCTTTCGTGCTGTTGCTGTTCCCTGCGAGGTTTGCAACAGAACAGGGCGTAATCAAGGCTTCTCTCCTCCTTTTTTTTATCAGTAATTTGCTTCGATGTTTGATAGTATTACACTTCTTTCGTGCTGTTGCTGTTCCCTGCGAGGTTTGCAACAGAACAGGGCGTAATCAAGGCTTCTCTCCTCCTTTTTTTTATCAGTAATTTGCTTCGATGTTTGATAGTATTACACTTCTTTCGTGCTGTTGCTGTTCCCTGCGAGGTTTGCAACAGAACAGGGCGTAATCAAGGCTTCTCTCCTCCTTTTTTTTATCAGTAATTTGCTTCGATGTTTGATAGTATTACACTTCTTTCGTGCTGTTGCTGTTCCCTGCGAGGTTTGCAACAGAACAGGGCGTAATCAAGGCTTCTCTCCTCCTTTTTTTTATCAGTAATTTGCTTCGATGTTTGATAGTATTACACTTCTTTCGTGCTGTTGCTGTTCCCTGCGAGGTTTGCAACAGAACAGGGCGTAATCAAGGCTTCTCTCCTCCTTTTTTTTATCAGTAATTTGCTTCGATGTTTGATAGTATTACACTTCTTTCGTGCTGTTGCTGTTCCCTGCGAGGTTTGCAACAGAACAGGGCGTAATCAAGGCTTCTCTCCTCCTTTTTTTTATCAGTAATTTGCTTCGATGTTTGATAGTATTACACTTCTTTCGTGCTGTTGCTGTTCCCTGCGAGGTTTGCAACAGAACAGGGCGTAATCAAGGCTTCTCTCCTCCTTTTTTTTATCAGTAATTTGCTTCGATGTTTGATAGTATTACACTTCTTTCGTGCTGTTGCTGTTCCCTGCGAGGTTTGCAACAGAACAGGGCGTAATCAAGGCTTCTCTCCTCCTTTTTTTTATCAGTAATTTGCTTCGATGTTTGATAGTATTACACTTCTTTCGTGCTGTTGCTGTTCCCTGCGAGGTTTGCAACAGAACAGGGCGTAATCAAGGCTTCTCTCCTCCTTTTTTTTATCAGTAATTTGCTTCGATGTTTGATAGTATTACACTTCTTTCGTGCTGTTGCTGTTCCCTGCGAGGTTTGCAACAGAACAGGGCGTAATCAAGGCTTCTCTCCTCCTTTTTTTTATCAGTAATTTGCTTCGATGTTTGATAGTATCTCTGCTGCCTCTTTCTGCTGACAGTTTTTCTGTTTACAAAGTAAGGAAATCTTTAGCAAAATGCAAGTTATTATTTTAACGCCAAACGACATAGTATATATTTTTTGATCAACACCAGACGCGAATCAAAAGCGCATACTTTTTTCCCTTGTCAAATTTCCCGCCAAAAGACTTGGCATATTTTATGAGCAACAGTAAACCAACTTTAAAGAAAAATTAGATAACTGTTATTTAGTTATTCCAAGAAAATAATTTTTGCCAGAAGTTTTCTTATTTTTGGCTTTTTTATAAGAGCATTTTTTAGTAGGTTATTTCTACGCAAACATCTACTTTCAAGGTATAATTTCCCTCTTTTACAAGAGCGTCTATCCACGAGCTTGATGAATCCTTTATCGTATAATAAAGTACTTGAAACGTTTGAGTTCAACTTTCAAACCTGAAAGGAAAAAGTAGCTAGCTAAGGACTTTGTTTAGTCCGTGAGAAACTAGGGTGATTGTTGAGGTATTTTCTTCTCGATACAATCCACTGTTATGGACTATTCTCGTCTCGCGTAATCGGTTTCAGTTATACCTCTTCTTCTTAGTTCGACCAAATACGGAGTTAGCTGGACCGCAGTCCAAATTTTTGCATGTTGACAATGTCAAATGGTCGGAATACGATGTAGAACCTTCCAACGTGGCCGTTGAGGTTAATAATTGATGCTTTCTGAAGCACACTTCCAACCACGTTACCAGAGTCTCTCGTCTTTCCGCCCCTTGGAACGAGAGAGAGGTTGGCGCACTTCTACTTTCATCTGGTTTCATGTAATTTGCTCCTAAACACTGAAAACAGTATTGTAATAAACTGACCGCTTCAACTGTATCTGTCTCCAAGATCTTCCTTCCGTTGATCTTTTTAATGATTAGATGTACCTTTTTTCTTGCAAGATCGCAGAATTGTTGCTGTAAAAAAAAATAAAAAAACCTCCAAGTGGCCAAGAAAGAGAAAAGAAAATCATCTCTAGATAAGTTTTATGTTTCGCTGAGTAACAGTTTAACATCCATCGGTTGAACAGTGGAGAATATTCATGGTTCGCATTCGGCACTGTAAGAGTTTTGCGTTTTTTAGAGGAGGAGAGCTGAGGAAAGCTTGACTTCGGCTGTTGAAGTCTTAAGGCTGCGAAGTAAAAAAAAAAATATACCACGCGCTTTAGGTGTAGATATTCTGCGGTATACGTATGGTAAATGTTACCTAGAAATACAAATAATTTTAAACTACTTCATAACCAATACATTACTTAAACAGCTATAGCAGCTTTTGTCTTCTTTTCCAAATGATTTCACCTCATAACGTAAAATTCCACGGGTAGAGCAGAAGACGAACGAAAGCTGAAGGAAACTTCGGTGCAGTTACTTACGCGTTGCTATTTTGGATAAACAAAATTTTTAATGTAAATGATAATTGAGGCTTATTTTGCTCTTAAGGCACTCACTTGAGACGGCGGCTTTAGGGTCAAGAAGATTTAAGTATTGTAATTTTAATCGCATCACGAGCAGAGTGATCTTATTTACCAGCACCGCGCGGGTCTATCTCGATATTAGTGCAGGAGGAATTTAAAACTAGTAAAGAAAACATTTTACTCCGTGAAAAATGATCGTTCTTCCCTACGTTTAAAAAAGGTGAAACCATCGTGGAATAACATCTAAAACAAACTAGAACGATAATTTTTTTAATACTAATTAGTTTCTATTATGGAAGCTTTTGTGCTGCGCCCGGAGGTTGATAAAATCGCGGTAACGTGAAGAAATTTAAAAAAGCTGACTATTTGGGCGTTAGATCACAGCAGCTTGCCGACTAATAGTAATAGTAATCAAAGTTTAATGTCTTTACGTGGGGCATGGTTACCCATATTGCCCGTGCCAGAGGCTCATGTATGAAACGCAAGACAACAGCCCATCCATCCCACCCCAGGGGAGGACATCCATCATAAAGTAATCTCGTGCGTGGGAAATTAACGTCTCCTACCCCTAACCCTGCAGGAGATGGGACCTTCATTTATTCGTCCCTATCCGAGAAGCCATTTCTTGTTGTTATAGAAAGGCAGCATATCCTTCTCAATCATTTTAAGACCTTGAGCCGGCCGGGGCTCCAACCCGCGACCTCCTGCAGATCAGTCCAGTGCTCTATCCATTGAGCTAACCGGGAGGCGGTTAGAAGGAGGTTACCGGGGAGAGATACTTCGTTTGGCTAACTGTATTGTTTACATTACAGCAAGCCTCTAATCCCGTCGGAAAGGTAGCTTACCATGAATGGCTTCGATTGGCATTGAAGCGAAAGAGCCTTTGTTTATTAGGAGACAGAGTTAGGGAGAACTACTTAATGATGACAATCAAATGAAGAATGCTGCCCATCAACACAATAGAATGTAAGTCGTGCAACGTTCGCTAAAGGTACGAAAGTAGCAGTAAAGTTGTTTGCTCCAACTTGGTGTTGAGGTAAAAAGTTAAGGGAGGTTAAATCTTTTTTTCATTTTGTTTCAATCTACATGAGCTGCACGGGGGGGGGGGAAGTTTTATTAAGTTTTGAGATGCTTTCGACGACTTCAACAACAATTTAAAGGTAGCGAATGACTTTTAACTCGGTTGGATAGAATGATAATCATGATAAAAACACACTTATGGGAATTGTCAACTCAATAGAGAAGGAGAAAACATTGATCATCTATAAACTGATAGAGAGTAAAGACACCGCCAGCTCCCAAAGGAAACGAGAAATGGTTCGAGTTTTCGGGTTTGATGTTGTATTTCAAATATCCCGTTGATGATTAATAAGGAATCGAGCCGACGGGAAATTCGAATTAGCTTAGAGTAAATAACTGAAAAAATGGGGGCAAATCAAAAGAAACCTGATTTTGTTCGAGTTTGCGTGCTTTTACGGCAGATCATGACCTTGAAAAGGACGCTTCAACAAGCGAAAGCAAAGATCCTTTGTCTATCTGTTACATAGCGAATGCTGCGGAGCCAATCATTATTAAGACAGAGAATGTAATTAAGGGGTCGTTTGTTAGTTTTAAAGGCAACGCATCAAGAGTTAAAGTCAGTGAGATTGTTTGCATGCTCCAGTTTGATCCACAGGTAAGTACTGAGAGCTTATAACTCTTGAAAACATTATGACTGTTGCATCTGAAATTCCTTTGAGAGTGTTATGAGCAATGTCAAGTTTGCTAAGAGCTAAAATTATAAAAACATTCATTTATTTCAAATTATACATTCATGAGGATCGGGCAATACCTAACGTTTCTCTAAACGAGAAATGCAATCGTTTGTTTCACGATATGGTCACTTGAGGAGTCACTAACGCGTTCCTATTTTGGATAAACAGAATTTTTATTGTAAATTTTTTAATGTAATTGAGCGTCATTTTTCCCTTAATGCACTCACACGGGACAGTGGCTTTTGAGTGAAGAATATTTCAGTCTTACTTTTAATTGCCTCACGAGTAGAGTGATCTTATTTACCAGCACCATGTGGGTCTATCTCGATATCAGTGCAGAACGAAGTTTAAATTTATGAAGAGCACCTTTTTACTCCGTGGAAAGTGATCGTACTTCGCTACGCTTGAAGAAGGTGAAAACATCGCTATTGTTTTAGTTTGTCAGCAAATAACATCGGAGTCGAACTAGAATGATCATTTTTGGAATAGTAATTAGTATCTAGAGAAGCTTTTTGTCCTGCGCCCGGGGGGACAAATGAGATCCCTATCAAAACGTGGTTGAAAAGATCGCGGTAATGCGAAGGAATTTAGGACAGCTGACATTTCGTGCGATAGATCACTGCAGCTCACCGACGAAAGACATTACGGGGGAGAGTTACTTCATTCGGCTGGCTGTATTATGCAAACTATAGCAAGCCTCTAGTCCCCCGGGAAAGGCAATCTACCATAACAAGCACCGCTTCGATTAAAATTTAAGTGAAAGGCCCTTTGTTTACGATGACAATCAAATGAAGAATGCTGCTTCTTAACAGAATAGAATGTAAGTCATAGAACGTTCACTTAAGGCACTAAAGCAGCAGTAAAGTAGTTTTCTCTAACTTAATGTTGAGGTAAAAAGTTGACGTAAGTTTAGTTCTTTTTTCATTTTGTTTCGATCTACATTAGCTGCACGGGGGTAGGTTTATTAGATTTTGAGTTGCTTTCGAACAACAATTTAAAGAATGCCATTGTTGTATTTCAAATATCCCGTTGATTATTAATTAATAAGGAATCGAGCCGACGGAAAATTCGAGTTAGCTTAGAGTAAATAACTGAAAAAATGGGGGCAAATCAAAAGAAACCTGATTTTGTTCGAGTTTGCGTGCTTTTACGGCAGATCATGACC